CCTCTAGAGAAAATCATTATTAGCCTGTTGGTATGTAATTTTATAGCTCTTTTTCTATAAATGTGTGTGTGCACACACATATCCATACACATAAAGATGAGGTTTTTTTTTTAAAGATGTATTTATTTATGCATACAAGAACTGGGGTGCAGGCCAGAGGTGTGTGTGTGGGGGGGGTGAGAGGATTCACCAGAGACATAGTGGGGAACAGAACCGGCAGACTGTCTGAAATACACTGCTGAGAGGAGCAATGGGTGAGAGACATCTGCCGCGCCATGTGGGTCACCTCCCTGGCAGGGAATTGAAGTCATGCTGCAGACATTGAGGATAACTTCACAGTGCTGTGCTTAACCCCTTGCATCACCAGGAAGGTCCATAAAGAGGAGTTTTTACATTAAGGGATCACGCTCTGTATTTTGTAACATGACTTAATCACTCAGTACATTGTGTACATCTTTCAAGTCAAAAATATACTTCGATATATATTTAATGGCTGCATAAATATTCCATTTTGCAGAATTAGAAATAAATGAATCCTGCCAAAATTTTTCATTGGTACCCCAAAGCTTCCATTATGAAAATGGAGCTCAAGCCCCAATATACCCTGAATGAGTGAAAAACTGTGGAAACTAAGGCATTAGTAGAATAGATGACTCCTTGACATTGGGATTGTTACATCCAGGATGCTTTGCTCAGCCGGAATGTTCCATAACACACCCAGTCTTAGTTCCTGGGGGTGCTATTATACTTCTCTCAATTTCTGGGTGTCTAATTTGTTTTGCCAGGCTGGGGAACATTTTGTTCAGTGGCCTGCAGTGTTGTGTAGAACTGATTCAAATACAGTACCTCAGCAGCTCATTCCCCTATCAAATGCATGCAGATCCTTCATTGAAGACTTATGGTGGGGAGATCAGGGAGTATTTAAAATGCATTGTGCTCTACTCTAATAAAGGGTGATAAAATATGGGTGTTTTTTAAGGGTATGATTTCAGTTGTTTTTTTTTCTTTTTAAGATTTATTTATTTATACAAGCACTGGGTACAGTCAGAAGCACGGGAGGGTGAGAGAGAATTCACCAGAGCCAGAGCAGGGAACAGAACAGGCAGACGGACTGAAATACACTGCTGAGGGGAGCAGTGGGTGCGGCAGAATAGGTCTGCGCACCACGTGGGACCCTCGCTGCAGAGGTTGTGAGCCGCTTTGCAGCCCAGAGCTCAGCCGCTGAGCCACCAGGGGAGGCCCTGATTTCAGTTTTAGGTAGAGATGGGGCAGGGAGATATTTCTAAGTGACCTTGAAGTAATCAAAAACCAGCCCTTCCCCCACTCCCCCAAGTGCATCTTATCCTGAACAAAAGATCTGTTCAGGCATAGCTAAGTAGGAACTCAGGGTATCAGTTTGACATAAGAACATGTGTGTTATAAATTAGCCGTAGATGACACTGATGTGATGCTGTCCTAAACATATCACTTCTGAAGTGAAAACATTTAAGTGTCTAATAACAGGCTATAGACTAAATAAATTTGTATCCTCAATTATTTTTAAATGCTATGATAGCAAACATCTTAATCTTAATTTGTGTAAAAAATGTATATGATATATTGTTAGTGGTAGGGGCAGGAGGCTACAAAACAAAAAGTTCTATTTTATTTCCTTTTGTAAATATAAATTGCCTGTGTTTTATCTTTACATTGACACCTTTCTATGAATCATATATGGTAGCTATTTTGAACTGGTAGAATTGCTGAAACGGGTGTGTATGTTATGTGTGTTTGCATTTTCTAATTTTTCTGTAATCCATAGATACACATTTTGTACTGAGAAAAAATTGAAATCATTTGTAGGTACAAGAATAAAGGTGTCATGGAATTTTACCTTCCAATTTTACCTCCTGAAGGGGTTCCTTACACCTTCTCTCAAGCATGTTACCATTCTCTTAAAAGGAACAATAGAGAAAACTAGAAGCATCTCCTGCTCAGTGACTCATGCTGTGCTAGCTGATTAGCAGGAAAGGGCAGTCATATTAGTATAATGACTTGGATCAATGTAAGGTCATGGAGACAAAGATTAGGTGGAAAATGACAAGCAATTATAAGTCTCAGTAATTTTCTATATTTTCTCCTCTTCTTCCAAGGTGATTTGAATATTTTCCTTTGCATGGTATCACTAATGGGTGAGTTGATTTTTGCTGATATTTATAGATGACATCAATCTAAGAATTAGGTAAAGGAAGGTGTAAGCAACACACCTTTGGTGAGTGTTTTCTACTGAAGTTGCCACTCTCACAATCACAGAATGTCACTTTTCTGTAACTTTTCAAAAAGACTCAAGTCAGCTCTCATAATTCCTGGCAAGGTGAACTCCTGGGAATGTTTTACACATCCCACTTTGAACCACAGTGGGATTTCCAAGAACACGCTTGGAAAAAACAAATGAGTCTTCACTTTCTAAGAGCTCTTTGTCCATATTTAAGCAACTACTAAGAAATATAAATGACGGCCTGTGTAGAACAACTTGTACTATGATCAATACAGGACAGTCACGAGTTTTCAGAGCTGGAAAGGCTTTTAGAGATCTAACCCTAAACTGAGACACAAGTAGATTTGCTTCAAAGTTCCATATCATAGGGATTGTGGCTCCCTCTCACCACATTCCCACTATATAAATGGAAAAGGAGACGTTTACTTTCTTAGGCAGATGTTCTGATTCCTCATTCATAGTTTCTCATAATGTTTTTTAGCATTTCTGCCGTAATTCTGACTTCAGTAGAAGGAAGATGTGGGAGTAGGAAATGTAACATGAGCTCTGACTAGATTATGTGGACAGAATACTAAATAGTATGTAATCAATGATATCTGTCCCATTTAAAAAAATTAGACATAAGAATCAAGCATTTATTGCAGCTTTAAAGCTCATCAGCTTTAGTTCTAAGAACCAATTTTCTAGATTCCCATGACTGATTAAAAGACATATTTGGTTGGAGTAGAAAATGCCTTACAAAGTAAATTAGAGAGTGGTAATATACTTACATAGAAAGAATTCTTTAGAAGAATTAATGATACATGATTCAGATTGTATAAAGTATGCTGATCATACCAATGGCAGCTCACTAGTACCTTTCAGTGACCACTTATTTCCTTGGAACTCCATTGGGTGTGATACTCAGAGTGTCCAAGATCATCTATCATTTTTTTGGATTTCTTCACAGCCCCTCTGCTTCCTGGCTGAGTTATTTATGTAACATTATTCCACATGGGAAAGTCCAGCTGTTAAAGTTTTAGAATCAGGAATAGGAACACATTTTTATTAGATCTTTCATCTTGTCTGCAGTGTTTTTCTTGGTTTAAATAATGATAACAGCATGCTAGCTCCTCCACCATAACTCACTGCCATCTTTGGAGGGGAGAAAGCCCTTGTTGTACTTCTGGGGTTCCAGAATGGGACTTATATCAAAATAAACATGAAAGTGATGTGTGGGATTATAAAATCACCTGGTGAGTTTGAACTTGTACATATGGGGTGGGCACTGCAGAGGTACCAATGATAGAAATAAGTTGCAGATTGATGGGAGCAAGAGGAGATGAGAAAGAAAAGTTTAGGGTATTAGAAAGTTCTGAGTATAGAAAGAAAGTTATGCAAATTTAAACAGAGAAAACCCAGAAGCAGCAGCTTTAGAAGGAAAGATAAATAGCCTTGCTTGGGGTATGTTAAATTTGAGTTGCTGTGAGATCTGGGTGGATCTTAGAGGGCCTGATGATTATATCAACTTGGTTAGGGTGACTTTAATTTCCTAAATTTCCCTCCCTGTAAGATTCCAGTTAGAGTGGAATTGTACATGAGTCTTGTGTGAAATTTGGAGGGCAGAGGTGAAGTAGCAACCATTTTTACCTCACACATTCTCCCAAATCTGGTGCCTAACCTTATTAGTGTGAGGCAATGATTGGGCCGACAACCACTGTCTTGAGCTTTCTTGGACTTCTAGGCCAGAATGTCTAGTTTCCCAGATGAAACACTGGCTTCTTTTTGCAGGGCATCCATAGCACCAAGAACAGAACAACAACTGATATGGATTTCAGTCCACCCTGACATTTTCAGCCTTCCCTTCCTTTTTTCCTCTGTGTATTTTTAGCTCCAACATTTAACACAAAGACAGCAGCCTTAAAGAATACTATACCTGCTCTGTTGTGCAAGGTCAAAGCCTTTTGCATGAGTCTGTTGGATTTTTCAATGGCCCAAAGCACTACATAATTCTGCCTGTTTTTCCTACCCAATATACACCATTTTTTGTCTCAGTATATTCATCATGCTAGTTTCAGATAGATTTCTTACCCACTTCAAGTCCCATCCTCTTTCCTACTTCTGAGTCTTTGGATATTCTATTCCTTCTGCCTCTTGGTTCAATTTCATTTCGTCTGCAGGTCTTAGCCTAACTGTGCACTGGTCTTCTCTGACTGCTCCATCTAAACCATTTTTTAATTTTGTCCTCTGTCTTACTAGAGGTTGTGTGTGCCTATCTGCATTTTTTTGTCTAGCTGATCTTCATTACAATCTTGTTCCATGATAGCAGGAACTATATTTATTCTGCATTCTATACCCTGACACTAGCACAGTCAGCTCTAAAAGGCTTCTTCTGGGAATGGAATATACAGAGGACCTCTTTTTGTGGAGTGGGAATGCCCCATTTCTTGGGGACATAAAGATTATCCTGAGTTCTCTTCCTATTTTTGTTCTTCATGGCAAGTCAAACTAATTTCCTAGGGATTCAAAAACCAAGTCTATGTTCAATTTCTAAGAGTTAGCAGATCCAATTAGACTACTCTGAAGATGCTTATGATATAGACACCTAGTATTGGGAGTTGCCAGTGATATGAATATAATTTTTGCTTATGTGTCAATTTTATTTGATTAGCTTAGAGCCAAGTACAGCAATACATTAGCAGATCTGAATGTTTAGAATATTCAAAATTAAAATTTCACAAAACTCATTCCACTTGATCATCTTGTATTACTTCTACAATTCCCTTAAATTTCATATTAACTTCTTAAACATACTTTGCAAGTAAAAGTATTCTTATTTCCCAAGAATTAAGAGGCCCCATTTTTGAATAGTATTAAAATATAAGCAAAGAATAAACATAATTTTTATTAAAGTCAAAATGAAGTATCATCTTGTTTTTCAGGAAGCCCAGTAAAATATTGCTGAAAGAGTATTTTCAACTATTTTCCTAACTTTTAATTTCCAAAGGCCAATTCTTTTGGTGTTGGTCTGAGCCTGTAGATCACTTTAAACATTTCAATTCTGCAAATATTTTGCTGCTGGCCTCCTTGAAATCCTTCATGCCTTAAGTGTCATTTAAGTCTAATATCCTTGCACATTATTTTCCCAGTATTTAACCTAGACACAGTACTTCATCACATTTGATACCTTACATATTTCTTCTACAAATAAAACCCAAATAGCAGTAATGTCTAAGTATCTTGCAACTCCTGAATGTTCTCATCCTCTACAAAGTATGTAATGACTTACCCCTATTTCCAATATTTGTTCTCCCCCCACAAATGTCAAGGATATTAATGCAAACCCTCTGAATTCAAAACAGATTTTGCTTTCTGTTAAATTCAGTGGTCTCAAGCTATTTTGAAATTATTTACCCTTAAAGAAATTTAGTTTTCCTTTAGTCTGATTATCAATTGGTAGCTATGATGGAAAAATGGAGGCTTACAATACATCAAAGGAAACAACTGCTTTTCTTTTCATATCTGAATGTTTTTTGAGCAGAAATCAACTAAAAATGTAGTTTCATTTGGCTAAGTAAATTCTTTCTAGTAACTGGGGTAACAAAGGTTTTTTGTGTGTGTTCAGTGCTAGGAAGATAAAACAGTAGAAAGACCCCAAACAAGGCATATAAGCTTTTTCTTCAATAAAAGACATAAATTAGCGGAATAATATGACCCTGATGGATACTCTTACAGATTAAGACTTTGGACCAAAAATGAGGCTAGGATGTTTGGGCATTTGAGGGCTGTCAGTTGAGGACAAGATAGAAAATAATTGTCATTCAGAATTAGATGTCAACCATCTTTAGAGGAATTAATGGCTTCACATTTAAATGAAGGTACAAAGTATCAGCAACATAATAGACTGAACAGCTTTGAGATGGAAACAAGAACATGCGCAGCTCCCAAATTTCCATCAGTCATGAATTAAAATGCAGGTACATTTCTTATTCAAAAGGTGCAACTCCAATATATTTTTCAACCCCTAACAGGTCTGTTTTCATTCACTGGATAATAAAACTAGGAGACTCGAGTTCATTTTTAGTTTTATTACACATCACAGACATGTGCACTAGCCAGAGAAGAATGATTTCTGAACTCTTAGAAAATCAGAATATATTTCAACTCCCTCCTTTTTTTCCAATGTTGTAGTAGCGAGATTTTGGGATCAGTTTAGGGCATAGTAAAAGAAACCAGGGAAGGCAGTGTATAAATGACATAATTATGCAATTTCATTTTGGAAGTTAGTAGCTTCTTGCTGATTGAGGCTAGCAAGATTGTGAAGTATTACAATGCTGTTACTCAGGTATTTGCATTTTGAATTATCTAATGTTTTTGGAATATCAAAGAATGCGGAGAGTAGGGTCTAAGAGTCTTCTATTCATGTTTTGTTTCCTATGACCCAGTAATATCTCAAAGCCTATGAAAAGAACACAAGAGCTTGCTTATTGGAAATCTTTTCTGTGTATCTAAGAAATATAGAAAATGCAGCCACCTCGTCTTCTTGGCAGATGTGCCCTTTAACAATCATGACTGTTTTTGGAATTGATGGAAGTATGAGTTACTAAAGAGTTCCTAAAAACACCTGACTTCATAGGTTAGTCACCTCAGCCTTGTATCCTATACAGAGGAGTCTGGAGAGTATATGATGGTATTCCTGACCCAAAATAAGGTTGGCATGGGCATATTCAATCTTATTTACATATAGCCCGAGAGAATTTATTTTTCTTGAAATCTTTTTGCCAAGCAGGAAGGAACACATGTTCAGTTTTAATTTTGAGGTAGGAACTATGTAGAAATGAGAATACAAGAGCCTATAGGATCTGACCTTTGCCCACCTTTCTAGACTTATGTCTTAATACTCCCCAAATTGCACAAACTAGACACAGTCCAAGATACACTGTTATAGCTTTTGCTTATCATTTTTACTTAAATTCAGCATAAGCATTGCTTCTCTGAAAGGAAGTTCCGATTTCTGAGTTGTCACACTTTTATTTTCTTCTAAAACTCTGGCATCATCAATGATAAATGCTATCATATTATACTTAGTATAAATAACTTCACCTCTCTCACCCACTACATTTTGAACTACCGGAGAGAAGAAACTATACTTGTTTTCTGTCTTCAATGATTATAATACACAGTATGCTCTCTATAAATGTTTCTTGAAAAAAAATGGTGAAACAGAAATATTCTGTTTACAAGTGCTAGATCTTTTTCACAGAACAAGATAGAGATGTGTTCATTGTGACTTTGCAAACTGGGAGAAGTTCTTCATTTAAACTTCTAAGATAAAACTACACTGATCTGCAAATTATTGAGTTGATTACAAATGACATGTTATTATTCCCCCCAGCATGAAAGAGCTATTTTGAATTTGAACATTAGCACATACAGGATAGTGCCTGACACAGCAGCATAGACATTAACAACACATTGGACTTGAATTTAAATTTTTTTAAGCCAGAGATAATGCAGCAGACTATGTGGCCTTTTCACCGAATGTCTTCTAAGGCTGCTGGGAAAGAAAACATATTGCTGCCATTGGCACAGTTGAGTTTGATGAGAAACTAAACATCAGCACGTACATACATACACACAATCCCAGGGGAGATGGAATCAAAGATTCTGGAGCCAGGAAGATTACAGCAAGTATTTGAACCTAAGCAAATTGTGAACTTCAGTGACCATCATCCTATCCAGCCCTGCAGCAAGACTATATGGCCGTTAATCTGATGCTTAAACTGTCCCTTGACCCTCTTTGGCATCTTACCCCCGACCAAGACCACGAAAGGACTATGACTATTCCATGGGCTTAAATCTACCTACACTACTATTTGGGTTAGAGAACAGGATTCAGTGGTAAAGCTTTGAAAAAAAAAACATTAAAGAAAATGCTAATTGCTTCTTTTCATAGAATCCTGTTGTTTCCCCCTACCTCCCAAAGAGCTTGTTTCAAAAGATCAGAATGACTATGGTCAAAAATAAGCTGTTTCCCACTCTGTTGAACATTTACAAATAGCAACATTTTTTGTATGTCACCACAAATATTCCAAAGAAATTATTTCCACCTGCTTCCTTTTGAACACCAATCAAAGAAATGTCTTAGAACTGATCTATTCTTTCCTTTTCCATAATAGATTTGAGTTAGCATATAAAAAATTAGTTAACATAGCTTTTAGGAAGTCTTATTGACACAAGTTGGATAACAGATGGTCATTCAGAAACTAGACTCTAAAAGGTGACTTATGCTGCATGTATAAGCTGACAGGGGCCTTATTCAGGGAATACCCTGAAAATCCTAGATGTAATGCAAAGCCCAAGAGACAGTTCAGAGTAGGAATAATTACAACTCAAATTCCTGTCTAGAGCAAAACATACCACTTTTAATCTGCTATAGATAAAAAATGTAAAATGAACAAATATATCGATAATCTAGAGCCGCTTTTATCTTTTACAAAAAAGCAGGCAATGTGTAGAAGCTTTTCTTAGATGGTTCTTAGAATTCTATCCAAGCAGTTAAAGTGGTCTTTAAAAATAGGTGGCTTTCAGTTCCTACTATGTTTCTGAAGACAGAGCTACTAACAGACTCACTTTAAATATGCCAAATAATTTTCATTTCTTAAAAAGAAAAAGGGTTTCTTCTTTATACACTCATGAATAGCTGAGAGTATCTAACACTATCTATAATGGTTACTTTTTAGTTAATATTTTAAATTTCTCTTAGCTTTGAAATTTTAAATCAATTTCAGTTGAACCTTAAGAAATGTTAACCATAACTTAACTGCTCAATTTTAATATTTATTAAGTCACATTCCCAACATTTCTTTTGACTCAACTGAAAATTGCTCAAGTCCTTCCTTTATTATCAGAGTTCAAAAACTTAAGCCATGGTATATGGGTAAACAGATTTGAAAACTGTTTATCATAATCAATTAAATTTCATGCGATTCCAGTTCAGATGGACATAAAAACATGAACTAGATTTAAAGTGCAATATTAAGAAAATACCACCAAAAAAGTTTGTTTGGGGGCCAATGAAGGTTAAGTGTTTCATTTTTAAAACCTGTCATTAAAAAGAATGAAAAACACTAAGAATGTAATCTTTTTCAGAGAACAGTTAGCTGGTCAAATTTATACTTAAGACATTTATTTATTCATACTTGACCAGAGATGATTCATAGGTTACTATGTGAATTGGTAATTCTAAATTCTTTTGTTAAACATAAACATTTTCCCAATACTACTCTTAAAGTACATCTCATTTATCTTCCTCCTTAAGAACTGTATTGGTTTACTGTAAATAGTTTAAACACCTGCAGTAAAGTAGGAAGTTTGCTAAACGTAGAGGTACTGTGGTTAATGCTCAAAATGGTGTGGCCAGAAAAAAAAAAAGCAAGCATTACATTAAATATGAATGCAATCTTTACCAACATAAATTGAAACTTTTTTCAATAAAAAAACCTAGTCCAAAAAGTCTCATTCTATAAAGATTTATCATTTCCAAATCACAGTGAAAGAAACTTGAGTTATTTACCAATTTTGTTTCTACTATGTGCTCTAAGATACCTTACCAAAAGCTGGTATCTGACACAACAGAATGACATTTGCAGAATGCAATATTGTAGTGACAGTACTGAGGTTGTTACAGACATATTAAACTCTTCTGTATTAAATGGTTACATCCTAATTATTTATATAGAACATTGGTCCAGTAACAAAAAATAGAGACCAGCAGCTGGAAATTTATCTCATTCAGTGTTCCGAGATAAAAGGGTAAACCATTCTTTCCATTATTTTCTGTTGATAAGTCCTTTTATATATTGAAATCTGATCGCTATTAAATTCTGGCATTTTGCCAAGCTACTGTATGAAGAGGATGCTGAAGGCCATCACTATACAGCACACTGCTACATAAGGACTCTTCCGTTCACCTGTTGGGAAAAGAAGGGAAATGTTCATGTTGATTAAGTGGCTAACATGGATAAGATAAGGTTATTACTTATTCTGACAGAAGAGGTACATAAGAGTCACGATAAATTTCTTGACACCTGGGCAAATGCATTTGGGGGCAGAAGGGCGAAACAAAAACTAAATGTAACATAAAAGTATAATATAGAAGGAGTTAAACTATACCATTTCATTTCTAATACAACCCTTTTCATGTATTTAAAAAACCTTCCATATACCTACCGTTCCTGTGAAACTGTGTCAACTCAGATATTAAAAAATACAACACAGAATATAAGAGAACCAAGATAAACAGTAAACAGTCTCATTCAATGCAATTCATTTTTTTTCTGTAAAAAAGGGGAAAGTTTCACCTATAAAAAATTCAACAAGGGGGCTCCCCAGTGGCACAGCAGTTGAGTGCTGGGCTGCAGAGCTGCCCGCAGCCTCTGTAGCACCGGTTCGATCCCCAGCCACAGGTGAGGGTCCCACATGGTGCGCAGACCTCTCCTGCTGCACCCACTGCTCCCCTCAGCAGTATACTTTGGTCCTTCTGCCTGTTCTGCTCCTGGCTCTAGTTCTGGTGAATTCTCCCACCCTCCCACGCTTCTCACTGTACCCAGTGCTTGTATAAATAAATAAATAAAAATCTTAAAAAAAAAAAAAAAAATTCAACATATCATTTTTAGTCATTTTTTTTTCCTAATGGCAGAAATTCATGAGATTTAGAGGAAAAAATAAATATCCATTAACTAAAAAAAAGAGGGTGATCAATAAAAATGCATTTAAAAAATGGACATCAAATAAAATGTTTAATAAAAAAAACAGGAAAAAAGTATTTCATGATGGGATTTAGTATCTAATCTCTTGTAAGTGTGATTACTCTAGTTTAGAAATGTAGAACTTAATTAAAACCACCACCTTTGTGTAAGTCAATATTCACACATGTTTACTGTTTTGTTTATACTTAGAAAAATTCCGTTGCATGAAATAGAGCTAAAACTGTCTTACAGACAGACAGATCCTATGATTGTGAGTTAAATTCATCTTGTTATTTACTTGTTTCTACAGTAATTGCAAGGATGTACAATTCCACAAAGCACCAGGGTATTTATTTATATGTTCCTTGAGGGTACTTAAAAAAGGAAGAAGGCAGAAGACACATTAATGATGTGTTATTTCCAGCTATAATTCTGGGTATGTACCTGGTGTCCACTATCTGAGATGGCTTGCACTTTACCTCACCTGTGTTTTGCAATGCTGCTTAGTATCAGCTCTTTCCCAGTAACTAAGCTCATTATTTTCCATAGGAAGTTTAGTAACTACCCTGGAAAAGAAATCTTGGCCACCTAATTTATAACTAAAATTCTCAAGGTCATCTTCTTTTTTCAGAGCTTACTCATTGAGCTCAAAGTCATATCTGTAGCAAGCTTAATCTCTATTTGCTCAATGATAACATTCACAGAAGTCATTACACACATACATTGAGTGTTTTACTTAGTATTTTTCTGTCCAAAGATATTTAATGGACTGCTACTTTATAGCTAAACGAAAATCTAGAAAGTGAGAGAACAGTGTTTTCATAATACCAGAAAAAAAAAGTATTTTACAACTAAAAAATACCTTGGGTCATCATTTTTAAGCAATGCTAAATTCTTTTGTGATTTAACCACCCCCCTCCCCCCAACCTGGATATCAAACAGAACAAAGCAAAAAAGCAGTTCAGGCATAAATTTCAGGTAGATTTCATAAGCAAGTCTCTCATTCTCATTGTCAAATCCAGTCTTATTAAACACCTAGAAGAAACTGATAGTGTCTTAAATATTCCATCTGCTGGAAATTAATTTTTGAGGAAGTTCTTCTCTTCCTCATCCTCCAACTTACAATGCTGTACTACTTTACATATGGGTTTCATTTTCCTGTTTTTAATTTTCTTAAAAGAGATTGCCATGTGGTAGAGCTAAACATCTTTGGTTGAATTTGAGTAAGAATGTTACTTCTTGTCTGGTCTTTGGTCTGGATAAGTGAATGTGAAACAGTTGCTATAATGTGATATGTAACACGATAAAATAATTTGGCCGGGCCGTTTCCCATTAAAATTGCATCCTTTTTTTGTGGATATATTCTTTGTCAAGATAAGAGAGGAGCATGTGTTTGAGAAAGCCGCCTATCAGCATCAATATTTTCTAAGCCACTTTGCCAAAATGAAAAGCTAATGCTTTCACATAATTGGCAAGAATGAATACTTTAACTGAACCATTTAACCTATGGCTTTCATACAGTGGAGAGAGGAAAGTGGATCTACATGAGCAAGCAAAAAAGAAAAAGCAGTTTGTAAGGATATACATAATAGAGACCATACTCTACAAAATCATTAAGAAAGCTCAGTATCCTAGCTCCAGACTTTTTCATATCTTTACCGAAGAATATTATTATTTAAATGCAGAGATATTCTCTCTATTCCCTCAAATTGTTTTGTTGTTGTATAGGTTTATGTCTCTCCTGGCAGTTTACTTGAGGAATTCTTACCACTCTGTTCTTTGATATTATTTCTCTAGGGTGACTCGAATTGCAAGCAGTTTGGTCTATAAATATTTTCATTTACCACTAGCCATTCAGGGTGCTATTCTGTCTCTTCCTCTTTCTCTTTTAAGTTATTTTTGAGGTGCTTAACATTCCCTGTTATTTCACGGTTTAGAACTGTTGAGCATGACTAAAAAAGCCAGTTAAGTTTGCACTACAATTCTGTGTAAATCTAGGTGGGTTTTCTCAACTACAGCACTATTGCCATCTTGGGCTAATTTTATTATGAGGGGCTGTCTGAGCATCCGTGGATGTATAACAATGTCCTACAGATGTACCCACTCTAGCTACTAGGTTGTAACAATCAAAAATGTCTCTGGACATTGCCAAATAACCCAATTGATAACCACTTCTCTAGGATGTATCTGTGTGTTACCAATCTAAGGTCAATATTACTTCCTACAAAAGATTCTCATGCCTATCACCATGAGAATAATGAAAGGCAACAAAGACCACTGAGGAATGACAATTAAACATGTTAAAAGCACAGTGGGTTCAGAGAATGTCTGCTTCAGTAGTCAATGTATGAGAATGAGGGCCTTGCAAGAGGTACTGTGAAGCAACTTATGATCAGATTATCATTTTCTACTGGAAGAAACCAAAAGAGCAGGAATCTTATAATGTGATCTGTGTGATTCGGAAAGGCCTTCTTTGGTGATAACCTCTACTTTTAATGGTTCTTGCCTATCATTAAGAGTTCAAGGGAAGAAAACTTGCTCTCTTGAAATTATTTCAATGGCTAACAACACACAAATCTTAGAAGATTTTCTGAAGAATTTGAAACTCCTATAAATATTTAGTCCTTAGCCAGAGTAGGTTATACCTATGGCTCTCTTCAGCTATATTACATTAATTCTCAGGTCCTTCTTTAGAGGAATTTCTAAATATTACATGAATTATTTATATTTTTTGATTTTAATTTTATTTTTGTTATGGACCATTTCTAAAATTTCTGCATCTCTCAAAAGTGAAAGCCAAAGTAAAATGTAATACTCTCAAGGGAGCATTGTTTATCTGAGGGACATGACTCAAATTCTCCATCCTATCTGGAGAAAAAAGCAGCTGGGAATGTAAACTGGTTTATCCCATATGGAAAACAGTATGGAGACTGATCAAAATGTTAAAAAGAGATCTATCATATATGATCCAGCAATTCCGTTCCTAGGACTCATCCTGAAGAATGTAAAAACACTAACTCTAAGATATATACACTCCTATGTTCACTATAGCACTATATACCATAGTCAAGCTATGCTAACAACTAAGGGTCAAAAGACAAATGAGTGAATTAAGAAGATGTGGCCTAGATATACAAAGGTAATACCATTCACTGTAAAAAAAGGATAAACTCTTGACTTTTGTAACAACATGGATGGAGCTAGAGGATTATGATAAGCAAAGGAACCCAGAAAGAGAAAGACAAATACTAATTGATGTCACTTATATGTGGAATACAAAGATCAGATAAAGCCAAACCAATAACAAACCCTAGAAATCTGACTTTAGAATTGTGGTTACCTGAAGGGGAGGAAAATCAAAGTAAGGAGGGGGCCTAGTGGACTTTGGGTGCCTTGGTGATGGGTATGGTCAAGTAACATATACCTAGAGGATGTGATCCTATACCTCTAAATCATATAGTGTTGTTAACCAATGTGTTACCACAATTAAAAAAAAAAAAATCCCTCATTCTATTTAAAAGGATTAGTTTGGAAATTCAGGCCTTTGTCAGACTAAGTAGACTATTAAATGTAGCACAGTTTTTGTTCATTATGAAAGTCCTGCAACATTATCGAAGAAGAAAGTAGTTGCATATACATTTAATGTTAGGAGAAGAATATTAAAATCAAACATTTTGGGGGGAGGGGATGCCATGTAAATAATTCCAAAGAATATAAATACTCATTTTCAGTCCAAGTGGTATAAGTACAGATGCCCTGAAGTGTTTCTTCAGAACTGATACAGGTATAATCTGTAACCTATTAGATGTAATCTAAAGGTATAATCTATTACTCAAGAGTATCAGTGAATCACAGCAAAAAAAATAATTTTACAGAATTCACTTACTAGTAATTTCAAAGTCCACTATATGTAGGACACTTTACTAAATGTTTTATTCATAGAGAGTTGGGGCAAGCATCTATTACTATCTAACTACAGATACCCTTAAGATATTACTATTCTCATTAGGAAAAATTAGATTACCACATTTACCTTTTCTTTAATCAATGAGAACAAAGCTTGACTATCATCACATGGGTTCAATAGATGAAACAATGTGGTCTGACAGCAACAAACAACATTCTTTGATTTAGCATAAGGCAACAAAATGATTGTATTTAAATGGGTTGCTCAGTCTTTCATTTGATGAGAAAATCATCCTCAGTATCAAAATGGTACACATTATGCAAAATGACATGGTCTACAAGCATGCTTGTATAAAACTACATTTGTCTGTAATCTCATTTTAACCATAAATGCATAGCATTTGATATCTGAATTAAGAATTTTTTCTTGTATTTCCCATCTCCCTGCTAATAAAATATGATGAGGTATCCACTGACTCTAATTTTAAATAGCATATGGAAAAGAGCTACGTGGAACTCTACAGGTGTGTAATTTATGACTAAATAAGTGGAGATTACATATAGACACTTACCAATTCTGGCACACTTCCAAAATATGCCCAACAATCTGCAAAGAACAAAAAGAGAAGAAAGTAGCTATTGAATACTGGGAAAGGTAAGTCATTCACTATTATACACAGTTCATTATAAACTAGCATTTTAACTCTGACATTTTGCTTCAAATGTAAACTTGTTTGATGTTGAGCTATCATTTATGTATGAAAGTAGGACACAATAGCGTTATCAACCATCATTGTATAAAAATTGTTACAGGCTGGAATATATATGGTGTAAGGGTAAATAAATGTGAAGAGTAAAAAAATTACACAATGGTTTACTGTTGTAAGGATTCATTCAGTCAATTTAAGTGCTTTACCTTCAAAAGCGCACATATTGATTTAAATGAAGAGTAGTTTTAAGAAAATGGTAAATAAACAGTTGGTTTTAGATGAATTTTGAGAGTGAAAAATAAAACTCATATTAAAGAAACTTCTAGAATGTGGCTCTGTATTTAAGTCATAAATTCCAATTATAGCACTTATATAACTGCTGTCATTCAATAAATAGAAACAGAAAAACATGTATCTATGTTTTCAATATAAATAAAAAAATTATACTGTAGGTACACTTTATAGGCTAACTATATATAGCATGTAAAATAATATTCTGGAAACAAGATTAGAGGGAAGATATCCATTATAATTCTATGAATGATTATGTTATGGTTTAAATACATATCATAGACATCTGACAAAAGAATAAACCAGGAGGCGTATCTGTTGATAATACTCTAATAAGGTCTACGAAAATAGGGCAGAAGACAAAGCAGCAATCTTTTTCAGCAAAGAAGCAAAGACATTAAGTTGTTATTTTCAACAGTGAAGCCATCAAGAACTCATTTTATCCAGTTGGTCTAGACATCTCCACTTAAGCATGGACAACTCACAATAATGAAAGAAATTATCAGTTTCACAAAAATGTCTTACAACATAAGAGAAAAATGGCCTGTAAAAATTTTCTTCTGTAGAAAATATTCATGTGTAATCAAAATATAATAGATCTTAACATTTATATAAATAGAAACAAAGATCTAAAAGAGCGTTTCAAACAGTTGATCCTATGAGTTCATACTTTATAGCATAAGAATAGGCATACTATTTCTTTCTTTGGTCTTTTGTGTAGGAGAAATATACTACTACTCAACCTCTACTGTAAGGTTGGTAGCCCTGAGAACTCCTTTTTTTAATGTAGCATGTTATGGATGTACTTCTGCTCCCAAAGGAATTAAGAGCAGACATTTCCACATGCAATCTACTCTTTTTCACAGAAAGCCAAAAAAGTACAAATATTGTATTCTACTACTAAGTGATTATTCTATAATGAAATCCACCACTTAAATATTTTATTAGAGAGACTTTATGCATTACAGTAGACTCTTGAATAAGTTATTTTGTTATAGTACTAATGAGAACAAAACAAATCTGGCCAGTGTTGAATGAATGAAAGAACATTATTTGAGGACCTGGTTTTGTTCAACATTGTTTGGCAGTTTCTAAGAACCCACCTATGTTGTTAAGGGAGATTTACTATATATGAGAATTCCAAGAAACTGATCAAAGAGATGATTTACTGGTTTCAACCATATGCATTAACAATAAATTAGTAACTGGGGTTTAAGAGCAAGGGAAGGAGAAAGACAAGTCATTTGAGTATAAAGCCTTCATGCACAAATAAACAACAAAGACTATAAAATTTCAACAAATGAACAAAATATTAAGTTTTGAAAGCTAAGTGAAATACGAAATAAAGGTGGAATGACAAAAAGTGATTTAAGTGGGGCAATGTCATAAAAACTGACAACTAACATCTGTTTTCAGCTTTAGTAGGTTAAAATGACTTGGGCTATAGAGACTATCTGTTTATGGGAATAAGATTACTGATTTTCAGTATTCTAAACTATCCCTTTATGCAATGTTCAAATAACTCTAGGAAATAAAAAAATGGAAAGAAATATTAACAGAAAAAGATGATTTTGATGTCATATTTGAATAAATGCTCATTATGATGAAACTCAAAGACAATATGGAAAGGAGGAGCAGAAATTATTAGTGTCATAGTGGAATGTCTGCAGCATGGTTTCCTGTAGATTTTTATTAGTGGAAAGGGATAGTTTGACTTTGTAGCATCTGAGTTTGGTCTTTTTCACCCCCAAACAAAAAAGGTGCTGGGGATAAATATTCCTATGTGACTCATTCTAGTATTTTATCCTTTTATTTCTTAAAATGATTATGTGATATATAGGATAGTATCAAGAAAGGATTAAGACAATAACATAAAATTTATAAATTAGACAATTAAAGTTTATGTAATTTTTGTCTCATGATTTTTAAAATATATTCTTCTTTTGGGTTGAATAACATGTATTTCTGTATTATGAACCTAGCACTTTAAGTTCAAATTTCGGGGGAATTAGGAGTGGGTGGAAATGGAATTAAAATTAATAAGGCAGTGACATGTTTACTTTTTATTACTGTTTTAAGCAAGTTAAATAAAATTCTCTAAATATGTCTGCTTTAAGATAGACAGGGAGCCTATACAGTTGAAATGGAGAGGGAGGGTCTTTATTATTATTTTGGTGGACACAGTACTTTCAAACTACTTAATGCTTTCAAATTATGATACCCAACTTTACTAATGATACTATAAAAAGGCCAAACAGTGTCTTTGAAGAGATGAAATTGTATTTCTAACCCCAGAGAAACAATCTGTCAAGTTCTTAAGAATATACTTATTTTCCATCTAATATATTCCAGGTTGCTCTGGTATTATTTTTTAACTTAGCAAGATATTGTAAATACAAGTTTCTGTATTTTTAAAATCAATGGGAGAAAATAATGTAAAAAGTTATAAAACTAAGTTACACATAGATATTAAATTATTTAATGTAATTTATATTCACTGTTTGTAAGATAATTTCGGTGATTAGACAGCATTAGTAACATACCCAGTTTTATTTCTGTCCAGGATGCTGGGTGCCAAAGATCGGATATAAGCACAGGTACATATAAGCAGCAAGATTACAGTCAGAAGACTCTGAAAATTGAAAATGGCAGACTAAAAAGAAAAAAAGAAAAATTAGTATCACAAAGAAAACCGCATACATAAAAATTGTGAGATAATTCCAAATTAAGAGTCATACTGTTTTTCTCCATCCAAAAGGCAAAGAGTATGACATGTCTGAGAACACTAAGAACCAGAGTTATAATGAGTTTGACAGTGTACTTTCCATTCTTTGGAATAAGGACTATTAAAAATCAACAAAAATTCTAAGTTCAAGAATTTGAAGGCACAAAAGTCATGAATCCAAAATAGCTGACCAAAGGTCAATATGCAATTAATACAGATGTTTCAGGTGTCCAGCCTGGACTACTGGGCAAGACATGGAGACAACTAGCTTTTCCAGTAGCTGGCTATCTAACATCAATTAAATCAATAATTCTCTTAAGTCTGTTTTATATCTGTAAAACTGAATGGTGAGTAGGGAGATAGATTAAATGTTGGCTAAACTTCTTTATTTCTGAAATTTCTTTAGAATGTCATAAATTAAATCAATTACGTTTCATACACTGAATAATGGGCTACTAGGTTTTAGTGAAAAGCACTTGTTCACTCACTATTGATTCTTTAACAGTATCCCAAAAAAGTCAACACAGGAATCATTAGAAAGCCCTAAGTTTTTATAGTTAAACACAGGAAATGTTATAAAGTCAAATGCTAGACTTATGCAAAATTCAGCTCAAGTGTCATCTTATCCAAGCAGTTTCCATGAGCTCAACTGCTTTCTCCGTTCTATCTTATTTAGGAATTACCTTTTTATTTTCATAGCAAACTTAGACATTTATTTTAATACTCATCCCTAAAGAGTGGCCACTGTCTTACCAGACTGAATGTCTAACACCTGACTAAATGTCTGTCACACACTAGTCTAATAGTTGTTTTTCTATATAATTTCTTTATGGATAGCAAGGATGAACATTTAATTCCCTGGTTTTTAATTAAATTGGATTTCAGCTTCATGTCTGTGAAAACAAGTGATACATGTAACCTGAAAAAAAGTCAATGATTGCACTCTAAATAAATTCTACATAGAAAACAGTATCTCACTATGATTATCTTTCACAGGTCATAGTTTGAATGTGTAGAGGAATATTAATAAGCAATGTGTTAATAGTCTCATGAAATATAAAGCACAGATTTCCTCCCAGTCAACACAGCTACACATGTATTTAGTATCTATTCTGTCTGAGGTATGAGGCGAGACATGGATTAAAAAAGTATACAGCATCACTCTTCCCCCCCAGGAGTTTGTAGCTAACAGCAATAACTGCTATGCACAGAGCTCATATTCTGTATTCTTCTTTATCCTCATACATTTGACGTAGATGTTATTAATACCCTTATTTTATACATAAGTAACTATGCAAACTGCAGTTGTATAAGAAAAGGACATGTATTTTAAAAACCATATATTAACTTAGGGTAGCATATGTAAAATGGCTGAGTTGTGCTGGTAATATAGTCCCCATACAATTCCCACCTCCCTTATTTTGACCCTAATTCCCCTCTCCGCCCCCGCCCATAGTGTGTCTCTGGTTTATAGTTGCTTGTTGATTTTGATTTTTACTTTATTATAATTAGTCTCTTTTCTGGTCCCTTATTTAGGTTTTCTAAATTCCTGCTATGAGTGAGACCATCCGGTATTTTTCTTTTTCTTTCTGGCTTATTTCGCTGAGCATGATCCCTTCCAGCGCCATCCATGTTGCTGCAAATTGTATGAGTTTATCTTTTTTGATTGCTGAGTAATATTCCATTGTGTATTTGTATCACATCTTCTTGATAAAGAAAAGTCAGGAAAAGTTTCAAGGGAAAGTAGGAACTGAGTTCTCTAAAAGGCACAAAGAGGTAGGTAAGGTGAAAGATAAAAGAATGATGGAAAACTATCTCCATGGAATGAGAAATTTGCATGTTCAGGGAATAACAAGCAGGCATAATATTAAACAAAGAATTTATGTAGTGAAGTGGTTGGAAAAGAAATTTGCAAAGTAGGTTTATCATTGTCATGATTTTGCAGTGTGTCCATCCTCCCTCCTCATCCCTCCCTCCCTCCCTGTCTTGTTAAGGACACATTTACATGATATATCTGGGATTGGTTTCTAAATAATCCAGTGTGTGTGGGTGGGGTTGGGGTTGGGGTTGATGAAATACTGATGATGACATTCATCACCTTCTTCTTTCTACCTTTTTGAATTTGAATGTTTTTGTAATAAAAAACTTTTTAAAAGCACTTAAAAGTGTGCCTACCTTTAAAGAAGTGGAGTGTATACACGCACACATATTTGTATGTGAAACCATTTATAAATGAAAACCATTTACAAGTATGTAATATATGATACATAGACCTCTGTTCCTGGGTTTTATGCTCTAAAATTTAAACAATCTTAGGTGGTAAAATCTTTTAGAAGTAATCTAACTTTGGTCATAAGACTTTTTCAAATGCATAGAAATTAGCCTACCTAAGCACTCCTCTTAATGTGTAGCATCTGTTGTGCCTTGATAGAGAATTTTAGTCTCAGGATTAAAGGAAACAGATGTTCCTGTTCAGTAGAAAAATAATTGGGATTTTCAATAGACATGTTATTAGAGGGAAGGGAGGAAGCTAAGTAAAAGCAAGCATATTCAATCATAAAATGAAGGAAAAGGGTGATAAGGGAAGTAAAATTCATGTACTGTGTTTAACTTTTCCCAGATACTGTAGATTATGAAATCTTTTTCAAGGCACTACATGGTTTTACATATGTGATCTATTTTGACTGCCTGGTGAATTGGCTCAATCTACTGGTCTCAACTCTAGAATCATTTCCGCCAGTCTTCCTTGTCCCCATTCTCCACACTAAGCAGGACCTTTGTATGTGAGTGTGGTATACAGACACCTGCCTATGAATGCACCCATTGACTATACTGTAATCATCTCAACTCTGAGGTCTTACCAATTCTGTGTGCCTGTTAAAATAGTGCACAGTAGTCACTGACAAAAAATGAATAGAAACTTGAAAACGACTGGCAATAAAACATCTTAAATGCAAGATATACTTAGACTCCAAATTAACAATGCATATTACAGAAAAACTGTAGATCAGAATGGTGAATATTTTGTTAACTATTCATAAATGGAAACCTCTGCACACTGCTTTGCATTCTTATTTACTTGCCGATACCTGAAAAGTCTAGAGGGAAGATGCAGATATCCTTATGTTTATGCTAAGGGTCCAGGCCATAGGATAAAATAAGGTTTGAGGAAACTTCTTTTCAGAATCAAAATTTTCTTTCATCACCAGATGAGATTTAGGAAAATTCTATCAAGCAGTCCTGAGGTATCTGAATATGAGATAGTGAATGTTTTTCTGACCTTGCCTAACTTATAAGAAACACATTATCTTCCAAGAGGTCTGGTTGGCTAAGTAGGCAAACTAGTTGTCAGAAAATCTAGAACCTCAATTCTCAAATCTAAAGTTTAATTAACTTTCACTGAGGACACCCTGTGACAGTGTAAGGGAGTTAAAAAGAGGCTAGCTATCCAGTTTGATAAATTTAGTAACTACTGAGCATTAAATAAAGCACAGTGGAAGACCCAAGAAGTCATAAAATACAAGACAACTCATTGCTTTTGGAGGTTCTAGTGAAGACTGTTTTCTTGACTTTCCCTGCTTACTAGAGGGTACCTGCATTCCTTGGCTAGTGACTCATTACTCTGACCTTGATAGTCACCTCTTTTGTCATAGAGACCCTCCTGCTTCCCTCATCCAAGTATCTCTGGGATTAAATTGCCCCTTCTCCCTGTAAGTCAAGATAATCATTCCATTCTAAAATTCTTAAATCACATACGCAAAATCCCTTGGGCCAAGTAAGACAACACATTCACATTTTTTTTGGGGGGGGGGCGGGTAAGGAGATATCAGGGGGAGAGCACTATCTATCACAACTACAAACACTTTCATTTTTATGGGAGAGATCCAATAGCATTCCTTTGACTCAGGGCTGTCTGTGGTGGCCTATGATCAGATGGTAATCCTTTTGGTTGTGGAATGCAGCAGTCCTACCTTGACCTTTGAACATTACTTTCAGGGTTGTATTTATTCTTCTAAAAAATGGCAGGGCCTCCCTGGTGGTGCAAGGGGTTAAACACAGCACTACGAAGCTATCCCCAGCCTCTGCAGCATGAGTTCGATCCCTGACCAACCAAGGAGCAGTCCACATGGCCCAGCAGACCTCTCCTGTCTTACCCACTGCTCCCCTCTGCAATGTGTTTCAGCCAGTCAGCCTATTCTGCTCCTCACTGTCTCTGGTGAATCCTCTCACCTCCCACACCTCTGGCCTGTACCCCAGTTCTTGTATGCATAAATGAATAAATCTTTAAAAAAAATTTCTCATTCTTTAAAAAAATTTTTAAAAAATGGCAATGGAGAGCTCAAACTATCTTTCTTCAAAGATCTTTTTATTATTCCTCCATGCTCTAGATGATCACACTACACATCGCTAATCAGAGCTTTTGATGAATTTGTACTAAGTTAATTTATCCAAACCAGAAGGAAATAAACTTGATTAGTCAGTTACTTTGTATATTCTGAAGTAAACTGCGATTTGTTAGAGCTTTTGAAGTAATGAAATCAATTCAGATTTTCACCACTACAGTAAATGAAATAATTTAACAATGGACAGAGATTGGTCAATGCAAAACTCAGTGTCCAAACATAAAACAACCAGCAATGTTAACAAGTCTTTAAAATCCTGTAGTCAAGCCAATTTGAAAAGTTAGGAGTTTTTTCAGATTCAATTTTTAAGAAATTGTAATTTCTTATTTTCAGTCATTCCTGATTAAAAAACCCACTCAAAACATTAGGAATGGCGGGGGAGGGAGAAAATTCAAGCAGTATAGTTAGAAACAATGAGAAAAGCAGAAGAATTAAACATATTAATATGCTCAATAGTGAATGCTTAATGACTGGCTGCTAACTATACTGTATCTACTATGACTTGACTAAGCTTACAGCATTTTC